TCAGGATGCCTGGGTGGCTCAGTTGGTTAAGCTGCTGCCTTTGGCTCAGGTCATGATCCCAGGATCCTGGGATCGAGTCCCACATTGTGGGGGGGGGGGTCCTTGCTCAGCAGGGAGCCTGCTTCTCTCTCTGCCTCTGCCTGCTTGTGTGCTCTCTCTCTCTCTCTCTCTCTCTCTGACAAATAAATAAATAAAATCTTAAAAAAAAAAAAAAAGACTGTCTCTTCAATGTCCTGAACTTCTTGCTTTCTGAAGTATCTGAAAAATTGCCTCATTTTGCCCCCCAAATCCTAGCATGTCCATAATTCACCTACCATTTGGACATTTTAAATACCTCATCAGAAGTCTAGTGAAGTGCATTTTAATTCAACAGAGTACACGATAAACCAGCTTTTTTTCTAACAAGAAACAAATGAATCAGTAACTACTTTCTCCTCCTCTCCCACCTGGCAGTGTCTTCTCCCACCTCTCTCCCTCCTTCCCCCGCTCTCCCAAGGACTGCCCTGCATTGGTGTCTTCTCTTTCTACCCCTTTCCCCTATTTGGTCTCAGTCCTCTGGCTGCAAGTGAGGCTGGAAGGTCCTAAGCTTAACTCTCCTAGTGTCCTTGAAATGTAAGCTGAAGTTGAGGTCCCACTCTAAAATTGGAAGCGCAGAGAGAGAAGAGGAAGTGAAAAATTCTCCATTTCTTCTCCCCTCTCCCGGTTCCAGGCCCTCCCCCTCCATTTCCCAACACAGGCCCAGCTATAGGTCAAGCTGAGTGTGGCTGCCAACACTGCGATGCCAGCTTGTTCACACTGAACACCACTTTTCACATGGTAGGTGGCAGAACAGTAGGGGAAAGGGAAATGGTGATGCAATATCTAATAGTCAGGCGAGGGGTGGGGGATCAGAGAGTTGTTGGGGGGGGGCAAGATCTGGATGGGGGGGAATGGAGCTTGTAACCAAGTGGCTAAGAGTGGTCCTCCTCACCTATCATCATGGAATGTGCAAAGCAGGTGCTGTGTACATTATAAGAGAACAAGATATGATTGTTCAAATGAGATTATATACACCCAAGTTATTAGAAACCCCTGAAATCCTCCAAATATCAGGAATGAATTACAATTATGAAGATAAATGCTTTAGGGACTTTCAGAGCAATTCATATTTAAAAAGAGTACAAAAACTCAAAAACTCAGGAAGATTAATAGACATCCTAGAAATTCCCCAGACAGAAACTCTGAAACCTGCATCAAAACTTTCTGTTTCAGGGGGACAAGGAAAGGGGGGGTGGTTTCCACTGGGCCCAGCAGAAGGGAGCAGAAAGGTCACCTCCTCTCAATCAGCAAATATCTGAAATCCCCATGGGCAGAATTGTGATATGAGGCCCCAAGGAAGCAGAACACACCGGATGAGACTCCAGGCCAGGTCCATGAGATCAAGAATCAGCCCCCCAAAGAAGTGGGGGAAACTGATTTTCTCACCCCGCTGGAACACCAGTCCCCAAAGAACAGAAGCACAGCAAAGGAGGATTGTGCATGGATCCGGCTGCTTGGCGAAACTAGGTGGTGGCGTGAGAAAATGGCCCGACAGCAATGACTAGGTTTGACTATTTGAGGTCTGATGGGGTTTGGGGGTGGAGCAGAAACTCAAATGATTTGATAAAAAACCAGGAAGACAGATGAAGGAGAAAAGACAGAAGAGGGTATACTCACTGTAGGAAAGTGATAGCAGGTTGAGAGTGAGGGGTGGTGGGAGGAAAGAGGGTAAGGATAGAGCGGGAGGACGAAGACAACCTAGAAGGAGTAGACGTCGCTGTAGAACAGGATCGCAGGCCCCCATCTGAAATGGTGCAGGCCCAAGAGTGAGGGTTTGGGACGCACTTATTATTGGGCTGAGGATTTTCTCTTTAAATAAATGAACCATAAATGATCCAAACAGGTTTTTAAAGCTTTTCATCATAGAAAATTAAACATTCAAAAAGGTAAGCAGAATACAATAAGGGTCTTCATATACCCAATTACTCCAAATCAATAATTTTCAAATTGCAGCCAATCGTGCCTCATCCAAACCATCTATTTCCCTCATTCTCATATTAATTTTCTTTTTTAATTTTTGTGCTTAAAAATGTTCTTCTACTAGTTTGATAATCTAGTTTAAAATTAATTTAAAATTAGTGAAATAATAATCAGTTTAATCACAATATCATTATTATACCTTAAAAACAATTTCTTAATATCAGGGGCTAGTCTGCAGTCATTTCTATAATAAAGTCTTTCCTTCTACTGTTGCACCCAAAAGGGCTTGTGCATTTTATTTTATCTTTTAATATCTTGTTTTATTGACAGAGAGCAAGCACAAGCACAAGCAGGGGGAGGGGCAGAGACAGAGGGAGAAGCAGCCTCCCCACCGAGCAGGGAACCCAATGTGGGACTGTGGGACTCGATGCCAGGACCCTTCATGACTCAAGCTGAAGGCAGACGCTTAACCAACTGAGCCACCCAGGTATCCCAGGCTTGTGCATTTTAGAATAGCTGAGGGCTAGGGAAAACTTTACTAAGAGAAGGGGCTAGCTATGGAGTGGAGAATACCTTGTCAGACTCCATACACAGCTCTAAAAGACTTGCAGCTGGGCACCTGGCTGGCTCAGTCAGTGGAGCACACAACTCTTAATCTCGGGGTTGTGGGTCTGAGCCCCACACTGTATATAGAGATGACTGGAAAAAATAATAAATAAACAGACAAACAAATAAATGACTACATCAATCAGTTGACTCAAAGACATTTGAGAAACTCTTGATGACAGCAAAGAATTATGGGACCTAAATGATGGGGAAAAGGATGTTTTCTATTCTGCCTACCTCAAAGGCTATGAACTTCTCTGATAGTGCATCCCCACCTGAAAAAAAGAAGTGAATCCTGCTAATACAGCATGTGCAACATAAAGTATTTTAAAAACAGCTATGATTAGAGGATGAGATTTTAAATAGAGATAGAAGTTTTCATTATTTCCCCACACCCTAATAAATCATCATGGTCCCATCTCTCGGAGACTGCTGGTCTTAATTGCCACCGTTATCCCAAGAGCAATCTGTAAGTGGGGATGGGGAGTCAAGTTTGGCAGGTTGAAAATGAGCTTGGGGACACCCGGACGAAGAATAGTTGCACCCAGTGGTCTCAACTCTGCTGTACGTTGGAGTCCGCCTAGGAGGTTTTGAGAAATGTGAACACCCAGGCCCCACCCCATACCAACTGAATCAGTAATTCCAGGGGTGGAGTCTGCGAGTTGGTATTTTTTTTAAATTTCCCAGGTGATTCTAATATGCAGACAGGGTTGAAAAACCAGTGGTATAGGTGTTAAAAAGAAAAAAAAAAAAGTTGCTTAACTTGCGAGTATCAGTTCCGACTTAAAAGCATTCTACTGCTTTCCCATGGAAGAAGTGGGGAAAATGTTTCACTCTCCAATAAAGACAGGGTGAAGGGAGGTGAGAAGAAAAGCACAAAGAAACTTGAAAGTAAAAACTATATGTAATAAAATAATATTGAGGTTCTCTCAGAAGAGGGTGATTTTCATTTTCATTCTCCAGGTTCTAATTTACTACCTCTTAAACTGCTCCAATTTTAACAGACCTTATTTTCGTTTAATCAGAAACACTTATCCTATTAGATTATTCAAATTACCTAATGACTATTTCATATTGCAATCATGGTTATTTCATATGTCAAAATAATTAATTCTGGCTACTTCAATCTTTTGTTTAACAAGTTTATCTCTCAATTGGGGGCAGGGTGGGGAAAGTTCCCGACCGTAAAAAAATAAAAAGACATTTTCTATCTCTGAGAAACTGACTTCATCAAATTATCCTGAAGGGAAAAGCAAGTACAAAAATGTGAACTACAGGCAGCTGGAAAGTAAAATGCCTGCACAATGAACAACACACCAAATCCTGCAGGGAAATATGCACCACAATACATTATTTCCTGTGACTTCCTGGCTGAGGAGCACTGAAGAACAGTAAAAAATCTTCCAGAAATTCTTTCCTCAGCTGTCTTATTGATGGATTTAGCATAGGTATTTGGTCAGAAAGTTAAATCATTGTCAAATCCAAACATGTATATCGACAAATGTTTACATATCTAATCACAAGTGCCACGCAGCCCCTTAAAATGAAGGTTGAAAGAAACTTGAACTGGATTCCATTTTATCACAAGCCTGGAATGCTAAAAATGCAGTGGCAAAGCCATCAATTCATTCATCTGAGTGAAAAAGCCTATAAAATCATAGACATCTTTGGTCACATCCTTAAATTTCACTCTTCTACCAGTTCCACAAAATTTCTATCAACACTGTCTTTTGTGCTAGAAGCAAAGTTAATTGTCTTCTGCAGGGTACTTTAAGAAAATGAAACGGGCAATCTAAGTTTATTTTATGATGTTCAAAGAGACTAAAATGAGCTTGTTTCACAAATAGCCTTCATAATGAATTCTGGGAAGTCACGAGGGGACAGTGATGCTAGCACATGTCTCCTATAGATGACACTATACATTAGATTGGCCACAGGGAATAGTTACTCTGGGGATGGATTGTCACAACACACACCAAGTTAGGACAACAATAATACCAATAATTAGTGTCTTTTTATGATTTTACATAGTACTTTACATTTTTCAGTGACTTCTGATGACTTACCATCTCCTGCTTGATGTGCTTATTGCCATAGTTCCGGAACTCCATATCTCTCACCAGAATGACTCTTAACTAGTGTCTCACCTACTCCAGCCCATCCTCCCTGTCAGCAGTGTTCTCCTGACAATGCATCTTGTAGCCTGTCACTTTTGTTACCTACTTCCTCTTTCTCACCTCCTACCACCTTTCTGTATTTACTCCTTACTCTAGCCACACGGAACCTCATGCCTTCCCCAAAATATTGTTTGGTTCTAAACTCTATTCCTTGACCATACACAATTCCTTTGCTATCCTTTCCCAAGTGTCCTCAATTTCCCTTTGCCCTACTGGCAGGTTCTCACAAGGCCTTCGAGACCAAGCCAAAACTTCACCTCATCTCTGGAAGCCCTTCTGGAAAACCCCATGGTAGGTCTTGCTAGCTTTTATGCTATCTTAACCTTTGTACATACTATTATTTTGTCTTCTTATCATCACTGTCTATTTCCAAATCTAGGTTCTTCTCCCTCCATCATCATCCCTAAACAGAAAGAGAGCACCTCCCTGTCAGTTACCCTATCATGGTGGTTTAGTATCCCCAGAGTCCCACAGGTGCTCAATTCAGGGGACTGATTAATCCAATTGATGAATGATGGAAAGGATTGTTGTTCCTGTCTGAGGTAGAGAAAAGGGAATAACAAAGTAGGAACTCAATGCTCTTTCACCTCGATCAAAGGTGAGAAATCTATTTTTCAGAAATAGATTTTCTAAAAAAATAGATTTCTCTATTTTTTCTGAAAACAGACAAGTACAAAAAATAAAAATGGTTACTAAAAATTCTGAAAAAATAAAAATGGTTACTGGTTGCATTTAAAAAAATGTATGAGATGAAATATTTTTATCAAATGACAGAAACTCAATGTGGAAAATAGGCACTGAACTGTCAATATCTGTGCAGATTTGAGAGGCAGCAACATAGAGAGTTTTGTTTGTTTGTTTTAAACTGAAAATCCATTTGGGGCAGAATTACGAAGTTGAGTGAGTAGCAGTTTGCTCTTCATCAACCAAGACCATTTATTCTTGGCATCTGGATTATGAAGGACCCTAGGACCCCATGGTTTCTTGTTCCTTAGGAAGACTTCTTCCAAGGCTGACTTTTTTTTTTTTTTTTTGGACATCTTTTCTCTGCAAGATGTCTCTTGAGCTCATCTTAAGTGGATTCTTCTCCACCCTCACATCCCTTTGCCTTTGTGAGCCAGGCACTAGAGTTAATACTTAGCAAGGCCCCCCCCCCCCAAAAAAAATTCTCTTTAGCAGCCTCACATAAATAATACCCTAGGGGAAATATCTGGATCCATGAATAGATGTTTATAAACTATGATTCACAGGGTCTCAAGGGGTTATGTAGCAATTTGGGAGACTGGTTGGATGGGGCATGTTTTGACTCTTCCATCACCTACAGTGCTTGAGCATTTCTGGAGTCTTTTCATGCTACTAGACCACATGTAATGCATAAACACTCAAATTATGTCTACAAGACATCAAAATAGCTATCTAATTTGAACCAATTGATGATTTTTAAAGCATATCCATCTGGGATGGAAGAACCGGTTGTTTTGTCTCATGTAAAAGATAAAAACAAGCATATATTTAAGCACATATTTTAAATTTTCCACATGATTGTGTTAGAGTTAAACAAACACCATCACAACATGATTCAAATGATTACTTCTCTGAACCCGTAAGATTACTATGTCAGAAGGGAGGGAATGGGTATTTTTCGAGAATCTTCCAAATGCTTTATAATTGCATTTAATCTCTCAGCACCACTATGAGGTAGGTATTGCACTGCCCCATTTTACAGATGATGAAATCGTGCTTCAGAGAGGTTAGGTAACTTTCCTGAAGTCACATGAATGGCATATGATTGAGCTGGAGTTTGACCTCAGGTCTGGGTGTCTACAAAGCCAGTGCTCTGTCCTTTACACCACACCCCTGCTAGAGGCCCACAGAATTATAGGGAACCCGGGAGATGAACCAGGGCAATGCACTGGGGCCTTAACTGCATATAAGCCAAGCCATGCCAGGCTATTGAGTGCGGATTGTTGGTGCCACGCAGCTCCAGGAAAGGATATGCCTCATCTGTTTAGAAACTCCTACAGAACAGTCCTTACCAAACACAGCATCGAGCAAAATCTTGATTTCATAAATACAACAAGCAGTTATCACCCTGAGAAAAGATAAATTTCTCCAAGTTTGGATATCATTAGGTCACTTCTTAAATATATTTTTAGATCATTAAATAATTTGATTTTTTATTGTTTTAATCAAAGCTATACAGGCACACAGTTTAAAGAATGCAAATTAGGGGCATCTGGGTGGCTCACTTGGTTAAGCGTCCAACTCTTTGATTTTGGCTCAGGTCATGATCTCATGGCCCTGGGTCCTGGGATCCAGCCTCATCTGGGGCTTCTTGCTCAGTGGGGAGTCTGCTTGAGGACTATATATTCTCCCTCCCCCCACTCATGTTTTCTCTCTCTCCCTCTCAAATAAATAAATCTTAAAAAAAAAAAAAGAATACAATTAAATGATCTATTGCGAAAAATAGCACTCCTCCATACCTCCCCTGGCACCTTTCTCCCCACTCCAAAGGCAACCATTTCCAACATTTTTAGCTATTTGTTTTGTTTGATTAATTGGTTGAATGATGCTTTTGGTGTTAACTCCCACAATTCTAAGTATACTACATTAGTTTATATTGTTAATTGGATTAACATGACTCCTCACTGTGGATGATAAGGACAAAGCTTCCTTTCAGCTTCCTCTCCAACCCCATCAGGCACAGATCCCCCTTCTCACCTCTTCATGTTCTCAGTATCATTAGGTCACAATTTGGGTTCAATTAGCACTTAGTCCTCATATTATAGTAAGTATATAAATGTTATTTATAGCTAAGCTCTGTCACATATATTTCTTCTATTCTTTTTGGCTCAGACTTTTGTCTCCCTGAGGTTACTTTCTGTTTGTTTGAAGTATTCTATATATTATCACTAATTTAACTCCAAACTCTCCAACAATTATTTAACCTTTTTCTTAAAATGTTCAAACATATCAGGACTCTTTTAATTTCATCTTCTTAAAGTAGTCTCTCCTCGAGCCTTGTAATATGCATTGACCAGACAGATGGCCCTGGACACCTGGGACACACTTGCCACCCGCTTCCCCTTCCCTGTCTCCTGGATCCTCGCTGGCCTGTATCCTATCTCCATTGCCTTCCTCTGTCTTGCTTCATTCTCTCTTTTTGGTGCAGCGCATCCTAAAGTAGCTTCTGAGCATGGGTGTATGAGAGGTAAAAATTTTTGCAGCTTTACATGACTGAAATTTGACTTATTTTCTATGTTTTCATGTTCCCAAATGTCCAACCTTCAATTATTTTTTGTATCCTCTGAATCTCATACGATTTGTTACAAATCTCTTAAACAGGTAGACCCATAACTGGCCAGAGTATTCTTGTAACAGTCTGAAGAATGCAATGCAAGAATTACTTTGTGATTACCAAATTTGGAACTCTAAATTCCTTTCTGCCACAGTTGCATATTACGGTTATTGTACATTTGTCTTTCCTGCATACATGTGTTCCTATTTAGGATTAACAACCCTTAGTTTTGCCAAGGTCATTTTGAATTCCATTCTTATATTCTAAAGTGTTAACAGCTCTGTATCTTAGCATCCAGCGTAAACTGAGCTTCATAAATATCATCCAAATTACTAATACAGCACGCAAGTTCTTCTAGACTCTCAGACTTGCTGCCATTTCTTTTAATGGCTAATTCAAAATTATTTCAAACCATTAAACAATTGGAAATCTTGATACATGCGACATAATTGTTTCTTTATGAAGAAAAGAGTACTTTGACGGTTGAGTTTCAAAGTCTGAGTTTAGGGGGATTTATCGTGGTGTTTTGCAAGGGTGCTCAGCTTCTGCTTTTCGAAGGCAAACACTTTCCTTATTTATAAAATTAGATAGTACATAATTCTTTTTCCAGACCGAAAGCATCCATTCTGTTAACACTAAACAGATACAATTAAAGAGTCAGCAAGGCATAGTGAGAGAATGCTTGCCTGAAGAGGGAGAAGACTGACTCTACTACTGCCATTCTGTAATCTAATATTTGTTGGATGTACTATTAATCTAGTACTTACTAATAGGCCAAATATGTATTGAGCACCTATTAGGGTCCAGGTACTGTGCTGGGCACTGGGGCCACAGAGTGAAAAGACAGACAAGGTCCCAGGCATTGTGAAATAGGACAACAGATACTGAATAAGTAATAACAAGTTGACCATTACAGTAACTTATTTTTAATGAGACTCAGCTTCCCTGAGTAAAATAAAATAATAATACTACCTCATGAGTTCCAGCAAGGTAATATAGTAGAAAAACTTTTTAAGCTCTCTTTTTTTTCTGTATAGACTACAAGCATCTTCTACTAGCCTTGATTTTCCAGGGGCAGGGAGCATATCTTACTCATCTGTGTAACCTCAACGAGTAGTCGTGCTTGTCTAGTAGCGGGAAGTCAACACATGTGTGTTGAGCAAGCAACAATGCCAAAAGAAGATGAGTCTATATTTTCCCACATGTAAAAGTTTTTTCATTTTTCTCCCCAAGATTATCCATCCATTCATGAACAAATGAACCTTATGCAGTAGAAAAGCATAAAGTGATACTATAGTAAGATGTTTCCACTTAGCATACATTCATCGCTAAGGTGTGGGTGTTTGAGTAACTGAAATAGTATAACATTTAAGTTTTCATCTATCCCATTTCATATAATGAGCAATTGTCCCTAAAGCAATTTCTGAGGGCGGAGTATAATTTTTGGAGTGTTTGACAAAATTATTTGAGATTTGGAAAGCCCCTAAATAGGACACCCAAAACAGGTCAATTACTTTGAATTTCAAAATGAGATGTCCAAAAAAAAGGAATTAACTTCCAGCAAAGTTTCAGCCTACAGAAAAATTTTCTAACAATGCTTAAATACATCCAAATAAGTGTATGAAAACATCAACTGACCTGCTTCCTAACAAATCTCTAGGATAAATGGACTTTAAATCTTTGGACACTAAAATTTGTATAGCAGACAGAGAGTTTTGCCATGTTTTGGTTTTATTCCCCCCCAGAGGACCTAAGGAATAGTTGTGATTTCTGTTCTCTTGAAACCACAGAGCGGAAGAGCTGGAAGGGGGTCTAGGAATTGTCCACTTCAGCCTCCTTATTTTTCAGGGGAGGGAAAACAAAGGCCCAGAGAGGTGAGATGATTTGTCAGTTCCAGTTCCAGGATAAGAACCAACGTCTCCTCTTTTCTGGGACAGGAAGCAGCAGCAGCCTGCTGAAAACATTGCCTGGTATCCCGGGAATTTGCTTGTCT